CCGGCGGCCTATTTTTGACACTAGGCAATACACGCCAGTCTTTGGGAAAAACATAGAAAAGTAGAAATATTGAAGCTCCTAAACTGTGCTGAAAGGCGCGTATTTTTTCTCATATGCCACGATGATTATATAGGGCGTTCGGAGATGGAATCAGTATTTTTCAAGCTTTCGAAAGCTGATTAAAATAATCAAACGTGCCGGAGCACCCACCCCTGAGCTGGCAAGCTTGCTCTAGTAGTAATGTAAACAGAAGAATTTGCCGTCATTAAGACTGCCCTCGAGAAGCCTACAAGTTGATATATGTTGAAAAATGTTCCATCTTGACATCAGCTTTGCGGGAATCAGCCACTTCCACGTAACAAAGCCTTCAAGCTTGTCGCCTGCTGAACCCAACTCGTCGAAACCGATTCCGCGGCTACTAGGTACCTCGTGTCCCCTTGAGGCACACTCAATTTTTAGGCCAACGCAGTTACTCTTGACCAGAAAACATTTATTTTTAAGAACTGTGATGGCTGTCAATTTTAATGTTTGTGCACCAGCTGTTTGACAGACTTCCCGAAAAGCAGGTAAATGTTTCAGTGTTGACAACATCACAGAAATTGGTAAACTCCGCCTTTTCTCGTTTTTCCAATAGAGTCCCATACATTAGCTCGTGTCAAGTGATGGCTGCCGGTGGTACCACTTGACTTCAACAAGACATGCCTCGATTTGCTATCCAGCTTACGAGAATAAAGATACGTGTTTTTTACCCCGTTTTGTTGCAGCCGACGCAGTTGTTGTCATAACAACCCCTACTTCTCAAGCCGCTGCAGTTGCCCTCGGCGAGAATAACTCAAGTTTGAGAATCAACCTTAAGACAAAAGCTCGTAGTACATACTAAACTTATTAACTGCTTTTAACATATGTAACTAACATTGTTATTTTATTAACTGATGTGATTAACAGGAGTGTTGTTAATGGTTGCTAACCAAGCCAGTTAGTAACCGCTCTTTTTCTCTTCTTGAGGAAGGGCCACCCAGCTCGAGAGCGTATACATATGAGGCCGTAGCTTCCGAGAAAATCAAAGACTGCGAAATATTTTTTTTGCTCACACGGTTTTAGGGTTTTAGGCATTGCATCCCTTACACTTAATCTTACACACAAATTGTACTCGTTATTTATTTTTCCTGAATATCTCATAGATGGAACACATTCGCGGCCCATGCCCATTAATGACACAATAGGCGTTAATGCCCGCCGTTTTTTTAGGTGTGCCTCTCCTCATGAATAACATAAGTAATTTATAATTTTGCAGCAATGTTTCTTTGTTTTCACTAATGTCGTACCTCAAAACTGATTTTTGTTTTCATGCTCGAACCCTCAAAGGAATGAACATCTTACTCAAGAGGAAATGTGCCAGCGGTGACTATTAACGTCACTCAATATAACAACCTGCACATCTGCGGCTCTTTGTGGCCATTTGTTTACTTTTCCTCACATCTACGCATCAACAGTATTAATGATCACCTGCTCGACAGTTTTGGATTGCAATAATAATTATTTCAATTTTCTTAACTGGTAGCAACCACAGTTACAACCCGAGGCGTCAGTGATGTGCCAAAGAGCTAGTAGAGTGTTACTAATTGCCACATAGGTGTAGCAACTGCTGCATTTGCTCACATTTTACTTAAACTTTTATTCCAGAGTGGTTCAGTGTGAATTCTTCAGAATGCACACTGCAATACCCTAGAGACGGAATAAATGAGACGTAGTTCCCTTCCCTTCACCAAATATAAAAATACATGCCTGAAACATGGAGAACAAAGAAGACTACTGTCCCCCCCTCCCACCCCCCTTGCAATAACACGGTGTATATGCTTAAATTTTTCTCTCTTTGAAAAAAATGTTTATATTAGAACTGTCGACCTTAGGTATATGTTTTTTTTTTCTATCCCGATATTTTCTCACATAAGCTAAGTATGGTTCCGACACGACAGTTCTAGATGGCTCACCTTTCCCTGCTGGATCTAGAATGAAATCAATAAGACAGTAACAGCATGGTGATACCGATATATTTGTAGCAACGAAGTGTGCATTGTCTATAGCGCAGAGAAAGTCTACGCCTTGGTTCAATTCTATGAGTTGCGCCCTTACTATCTCGAGAAAATTTTCCAATTCTAATTAATGCTTATTTCGTGCTGGTCGTGCCGAGATGAATGAAACAATGGTGTTGGCTTCAGCACGATTTGCGTATTTCAAAAGGCAACAAAGGACCTCGATCAATTTCGTTCCACGATTACGCGTCTGGAGTGATTGAGACAGTTCACAAAAAAAACGTTTCATTATACCCCGGTCGGACTAACGCCTAAAGTTCCAAGTAATTTTTGGAAATTAAGACACTCTTCCACACTTAGGTTGCACGCTTCTTCGTGATGAACTTCCGTTTCTTTTGAATATGTCTTGGATCGCGTGATAATCAGGACACCTTTGGCAACTCTCCTATTGTCGGCGAGTCTCCGTGGTATCGCTGACGTGAAGCCGGGTGCCTTCTTGCTCCACGTCATCTTCGTGTCATCCCAGTGCTTTATTTAGCTTTTTACCTTCGTTAAAATAAAGCGTTACAATTGGAAGTTGATTAATAAATAATTGTGGAAGTATGAAATGATGTGCAATTTGTTGAACGTCCTATTCTTTATTCTCATATTCAAGATTACACTTTGTGCGAAGATTTAATTATTTTATTGCTATAGCATTATTAAGCTACTCACCACAGATTTCTATCTAGAATCTGTCCTAGAATAAGTTTCCCGCTAAAGTTTGCAGAAAAGTGTTGCTGCCGAAGTTACCAGATAATTTTCCTCCCAAACTCGCAGGAAAATTGACGTCACGTGTTCTCTGAACAAGTACAGTTTCCGGCAAAATTTACCAAAAGCAAAAATGTGACATCTCGTGGCTTATGCACCAGTTCAATTTTCCCGCTACATTTATCGGCAAAACTGACGTTAACTAAATTGTCAAAAATTCAGTTTTCTTGCTCCACTCATATTCCTCGAGACTAAACACCTGCACTTGTGCGCAACTATAAATGCTATCGCACTTAAAAATAATCAGCGTTTACAGCCGCATGTTTGAAGAAGGTACTCCTCATTCCCATTATACTACACTGCGCCTCACCCTACAATGATCTAAAGGCAAACGCTACGTACCGCCAGTTCCAATCACGAGCCACTCATAAATTGTGTGCCCTTTCGCTTCGATACACGTATTTGTGCCCGGGTCTCGGATCACTGATGGGCGAGGGCTTCGGATCGAATAGCAGTGAGTGACTCAAGAACTTTACATTGCCAAAAGAGCCCCGACGTACAGGCTGTTTGCAGTGTCGAAGCTAATAAAATGATGAGCCGCTTTTGCGGGCCGGTATCTTTGCCGACGCGATTGTCAGAATACAACGAACAAAACAGTACGCCAAGGATATATTAAACGAAACAAAAAAAAGCACTCCCGGGCCATCGCTGCACCCTTCCCTTCTTTCCGCAGACGGAGTGACAGCTGCGACGCCGACGCAAAGCAAACGCGCGGAGGAAAATGTTTTTTTTTTCGGGCGCTTTAAAGTAGAAGCTCGACCCCACCCCCTCACACACATGCACACACACTATGACTTTTTGCTCACCTAATGATCTCTACAATATAACGTTGCGGTGTAAATTGCTGTAATGAATTCTACGGGCAAAATTGCCAACAGTGTTTCCATCAATCAACGCTTTTGGGTGGTCAGCCGCAAGCATTTAGAGTACGCAAAATCGCCAACAATGTTTCCGTCCATCAACGCCCTCGGGCGGTCAACCTCAAGCATTTACAGTACACACCAAGAAAGAAATCGGCGAGCGAAGCTTACGAACACTAACTTCCCGAGCTATAGGTGCCTTTATGCATAAAGTTATTATAATGTACGCTAGAGGTTCAACTGGCGCTAGTGTCTATGCGACTTCCGTGACGCAAATTGAATCAGACAGCTACCAGTCTACTTTTGCGGTGCTCCTGTGCATTCCTATGGGAAAATGCGCGTGCATTTTGCCTCTTCGGCGAAAAATAACACGGAACCCTTTGGTTATTTGGGTCGTACCGAATAGTATACACCCTGATTAACACTGTAAAAGTGTAATTGCTTTAGTTAGCGCATTTTTCTTCATGAGTGAACGATGCTTAACTTCGCTACATTTCAGTCCAAAACGTGTGTTCCGCAGCAGGTGTGTAAAAACAAGCGACGATTCAAAGCAAAATTGGAATCGAATGGAATATAGAGTGTGTTCAAGGTTCACCAGCATTCCGGTGACGCTTATATATTGATAATATGCCAGTCCTGTCACCATATGAAAATGACCCCGTCGTGCATTAGCGGATAAAAACATTAAAACCGTAGAGAATAAAGTCCGTGGGCTATAAAAGGTGTCTCTTCGTATTGTTTTCTCTGCCGGGCAGCTTTTATCGGGCACTTGGGCTCAAAGATTTCGAGCGTGCGGGTGATATTTTGAACTTAGAACAAACATGTCTTCGCTCAGAGGAGAAAGGATAAAGGGTACTTACTTATATAAATCGGAATAGATTACGTGGCGTTCAATTTATTTTGATCGTACATGCACAAGCAGTTACTGATCCAGTGTTACTGAGTAGTTCTTGCCGTCTCCCTTAATTTCCAGATGTCCTTCGTTCGTTTGGCACGTGTATCCCTCATGCTGAAAAGCGCCGACGTCGTGTTCGCGCTAAGAGTGTCCGACAGTGCACATAAATGCACGTACGAAGCCGTTTTAGCACCGTTTTAGAGCGCAGCTCTTAAGGCGGAAACACATTTGCGAAAAAAAGCCGAATTTTGTGCGAAAACCGCACACGAAAATCGCACGGCAGCTAGGCTCCTCCCCTTTTCCGAAAACCGGGAGCGGTTCGAGACATCTGCTGCGCCAGATATTTTCGCACGGCGCCTCCGAATTCCGGCCGGAGGAGCTCGGTGAGCGAAATCCCGGAACAGGACGGAACGAAAAGATACGTTCGGCTCGCAACATGGCGGCTCAGCAGGCGTTCTTGTGTCAACCTTCGGAGGAAACCCCTTATGTCTCTGCCTCAAAGGGTGGTGGTTCAAAGGCTCGCGTGGCATTCAACGAGCTTTTAATAGCTGAAGTTTTTAAGAGGCGCGAAATATGGGACGCCAGTTCGCCAGACTACCGGAACAGCCTCGTGAGGTCGGAACACTGGAAGGCTATAGCAACGGTGCTGGGATCAAAAGGTGAGGTTTTACGCGATTCATGCAGTTGTGCAAGTTTCTACAAACACGTAGAGACAAGCCGATTCTTCTTTTCGTCTGTTCATGCTTGGCAGCGACCGGCGTTTCTCGTCGGAGTTATCATTTATTTGACACGCACTACGTATACGTGGTTGCTCTTCAACATCCTTCGCGGGCATTATGCCGCTAAAGATCTTACTTCGAAATGCACGCTCTCGAGTCTCGAACCAACTTGATGCGCTCGTGCAACTTAAAGGTCTAAAGCAACCGCATGTGAAGCGGAGTTCCGACCACTCTTGTTAAAAACAGGAGCCTAATTGTTTGTTGCTGAACTTTGCTCGCCGCTGGTTAAAGGAGGTGTAGCGACTAGTTGTATCTCAGTGCAGCAGTAACTGAGCAATATCATACCGTAGTGAAATTATAAAGTCCGAGCCAGAAAAACACAGCTCTTGTTGGCAGTATAAATAAATTATTAAAAGTGTGTATTTCTTATTACAGTCCAGGACGTAGAAAGCAGATGGCGTAATCTCAAAGACACCTACGCCAAAAAACTCCGCGACATATCGAAGCTGGAAAGAAGTGGAGCGGCTGCACCACGAAAGGAGGTCCGCTGGATGTACTTCGAGCAGCTGAAATTTCTAAAAGATACCCTGCAGATGCGACCGTAAGAAACGATTTCGGCTATTTTGTTTTATTTAAAGGCCCCATATACTCCACCTCCGGAGTTCTGGGTAATGGTGAGGGAAGCGCAGATGGTTTACAAAGTACTTTTGAAAGAGCAGGCTTCCACAATTGTGCCTTCTCAAAGGTGGATATATGAGTCACAGTAGGCTGTATATAACCTACAAAAACAGTAGTAAGCAAATAAAGCAGCTCATACATATTAAATGTACTCCTCATTAATACTGCCCTGGAGCGACGTCCACCGACGTGACAGGCAGCGGTTTCCCCAGGAATTGATATTAGCGGGGTGTATAAATTTTTAGGGGGGTGGGGCATTGACAAGGGGAGTCGTTGCGAATTAAGAGGGTGCCTTCAGAAAAACAATGGGAGGGGGGGGGGTACACCCCCCTTAGGGGTGTGTAGGGAAATCACTGGTGACAGGTTAAAAACGATAAGGGAAAGGAAGCACGGGGAGAAGAAAGCAGACAAATCGATTGTGCCTTTTCCTTTCATATTCGCAGCACATCAAGCAGCATATCACTAGATGCTCAAGAAGACTGCACACAAGGCAGTGCCGCTGAAGAGGACACGCCACTAGTTCTGCAGTGGAACATCATTGACGAAACCGGCTCCCCATCCACTCCTGGCGATCTGGTGCTTTCAACGACTTCCGCAGCTCTTTCCGACCCATCACATGTTGTTGAGGAAGTGCCATTGGAAGTGCTGCATGTGCCATTGCAAGCAAGTACAGCTTCACACCCTACGCCGTCACAAAGGTTGCCTCGGCAGCCCGTTCAGCAGGGAGCAAGGCCCCCCAAAAAGAAGTCCCGAACGGACCAGCAATGGACGCAGGTTGTCAGAGACATTGACCAGGAGCTCGAGAGCAAACCTGATGAGTGGGATTTTTTTTTTAAAGGACTCAAAATGCATACCAAAGCTATTCCTTGCCACAACGTGGTCGATTGTCAAGTTCATATCTTACAGGTCATGAAGGCCTACTCTCGGGGCGTCGTGCCTAAGGTCCTCTGGGACCTCCAGATTAACTCATGTGGAGGTCGAACCGTCGAGCCCACCTTAAGTGAAGACTAAGAAGAGAAATTTTGAGTTGCATTCCACGAGTGTGTGAATCCCAATTTTCGGTAATGCTGTGATATTTAGCTTTTTTTATTACTTGGTCTGTGATATCTTTTCTTTAACCTTGATGCTCGGTCAGCAATGCTTTTTTAAACTTTGATACTCGGTCAGTGTCATATTTGTTTTTAGTTTCCATACTCTGTCAGTGATATTGTTGAACCGTCGAGCCCACCTTAATTAAAGACAAAGAAGAGAAATTTTGAGTTGCATTCCACGAGTGTGTGAATCCCAATTTTTGGTAATGCTGTGATATTTAGCTTTTTTTATTGCTTGGTCTGTGATATCTTTTTTTTTTTTTTAACCTTGATGCTCGGTCAGCAATACTTTTTTAAACTTTGATACTCGGTCAGTGTCATATTTGTTTTAGTTTCCATACTCTGTCAGTGATATTGTTGAAATAATATTTTATGTATTGCTGTAAGTTTAGGAAGGAAGCTTTCAATTGCCTTATATCAGCTGTTGAAATTAGTGTTTTGTTTATTTCTCAATTTTCAAAAACACATTCGGGCAGCCTTATGATGACATCAGTGCTTTGTTTTGTCACTCAGTTCGTGATGCATTGCTTTTTTAGGAGAAAATATCTTGAATGCGACAGTTAAAAAATGTTTATTTGGTGCAATTTTTAATTACAGCGTTTTAATTTCTCTCTTGGAGTCTTTCTGTTACGGTTGTGTCTTCTTCCATGGGAGCTGGCCCGGTGCACTCAAAAAGTAAGTCGTAAACAGCTCCCTTACAGCCTTTGCACTCTCAGCAGGGTTTCTGGCATGAGTACAACCTAAGGACGTTAGGCCGCTGTCTTCTTGCTCAGTGCGCCAAGCACCGTCGATCATAGTTCCAGTTGGAGTAACATGGTCACCATACCCATGTGGGCAGTAGAAACTGTCTTCTTGACCTGCTTTGGACGTCAGGTAGTTTATGTGGCACACAAGCTGCCAGAACCAGGAGCTCAGCATTTTTGGGAGACTCCGCCAGAGGTCTTCGGAAAATCCGCCAGCGGGACGAGAGAATTCCAAATGCGTTCTCCACGCACCTCCTTATATGAAACATGAAACACAAACAATAGGATAAGAAGCTGCTCTGCAATAGAAAAAACACTTCCAGTGGCGCACTGCTAGATATTTCAGCTTGAATGGCAGCTGGAGACATAACGTTTATGCATAATTCTTGACTATTGCAGGGATATCGCATAAGCTCCCCCTTCAGCTGTAAATTGAACTTGACTAATGAGGATGCTCAACATGGCATTCTGGTAATTAAGGTGCTTTGAATGTTTTAGAGCCAGGAGACCTAGAAAGCATCTGATGTATACCTTGCTCTGCTTAATCTCTGGTTGAAGTTGTCTTTTGCGTTTTCAAGGTTCTGCCCCGGGTAGGGTCTCATGAAATCATCCCGGAGCTGAAACGCCTCGTCACCGATAAATACATGCGGTGCGACCACATTTGAGCCTGGTAGCAACTTCGGGCCCGGCACCTTCAACAAGCCCTTCTCCATGGCAATGCCAAAGTTGGAATTTTTCAGCACTCCGCCGTCACTGTTTCTGCCATATGCCCCCACGTCCACAATAGTGAAGCAATAGTGAGCGTCTGCAGAAGCCATGAGCACGATGGAGTGCGTTTTCTGAAAACAAAACACCAGGAAATATGAAGCTTGGTAATTTTTGCTTTCATCTAACTCAGGATTAGAATCACATAAACAACATGCCATAATTAGTCCTGGAGTGGGGAAAAAGGGGGATGCCACACAAAATGAAAAAAAGGGGAAGTGCACGATACGCGCATAACACACTATGGCCATAAATGCTATTAATGCTTGAAAGGTTCTATTAAATGTAAAGATTATCACACCTTGTAATTGAAATATAGGGAGCCGCTCCTAACAGGTGCCTGCATCTGGACATGCTTTCCGTCGACTGCTCCGACGCAGTTTGGAAATTGCCAGAGTCTCTGAAATTCCATAGCGATGTCCTGCCATACCTGAGTGCTGGGAGTCTGGATTGATTAAAGCAATGTGTCATTATAGGATACCAACATACAAAGAATAGGCACAGACCGGCATGTAGAGGGGCCTCAGCCTTTCCCACAGACTCTTGCATGTGTCGATAATGGCAGCTCTTGCAGTCGATATGCCCACACGGAAGGCCAGTGCGACATCCTTTACAGGATCTCCTGACGATAGGTACCTGGAACGAATGCAGCAGAGGGAGCGTTGCGCAGGCACATAATATTGCAAATCAAAGGATAGATAAGATATAAAACACTCAACCTGGTAAGCTATTGCATGAGAATTTACGTCACCCTTACCTCAGCGTCATGGCCAACCGCTCCGATGCACTAATTGGTTCCCTGCACACATAGGAACGTCGAAGGTCGTCTTCTACAAGTTTGAGCACGTAATCATACTCTTGCGGGGTCATGCGGTAGAATTTCTTAAAATAGTCAAGATCCCCGGCCCGCATAAGCTTCATCTGAAAGAGATAACCACGACATTCTGTTGTAAGAACTAGACTGCTACGTTATCCGAGGTACCCCCTAGGGTTATTAAACCATATTGGGGAATCGAAAGCAGTACATAAATATTGCCAGCTATTTTTTGTGACTTAACCTATTACGTCTGGAGTCCCACAGGTTAATATTCTCGGTTCCCTTAATGTCAACATGTACATAAATGATACTGTTTAATATAAACTCTGTAACAAACTTTAGTATTTCAATAAATGGCATTGTCTTTTTCAGCTGCGAATGAGAATAAATTGATAGACAGGGCAAACTTTCCCTTAATGCAGCTTGAAGCTTGGGTGCTGTGCAATTCCTTGACAAATAATAATAGCAAAACAAAAAACCATACCGTTCCGACTAAAAGGTAAGAAATAAAGGATTAACCAAAAGCATTGTAATAAATTCATGCCTAATAGAAATTATAAGTTCCTCTAAGACCGTAGGGGTTAAGGGCTCGTCAAGCTGTTTCGAAGTTTTTTGTTTTTTCTTTGACCTGCTTTATTGATGCATTATCGAACGATAATAAATTTATCATTATTCTTTTCTTTTTGACGAACGTACGTGCAAAGCGGAATTTGTTTTAGACTTTATTTTTAAACAAATCACTGCCGGAGACGTCAGCACGGCGAGCGCGTGTGCCTACAAATCCAGCAAGCTCCTTGGTGCTTGAATAAATTAGCAAAAGGTCTATTTACATGCCCACATAAAGGTTGTACATACCGCAGTGAAGAATTCGCTTTCTTGCTGTCTTTTCTGCCACAGGGGACGCACCCACCAGCGCCTTTTCATTTTTTGAGGCTTCCTCATCAGTTGAAGCACGATTAGCTTCTTCTTCAACAGTAGAAGTCGGCGACGGCGATCAGGCATTGCGGACTTCACAAGATCGGCGGCCCTTTTGTATTTCGCGTGGGAAAAAGCACGAAAACCGCAGTGCATTGCGATTTCCGCGCTGCGCATTTCACCTCATGTGGCTCGTCTTCCGAAAATCGCAAGCTACGATTTTCGCAGCCTCCGATTTCCGTCCGATTTTCGGTTCGTTTTTTCGCAAATGTGTTCCCGCCTTTAGGGGCCCGTTCCCGGCTTGAGCGGCGTCGCCGTAACCAAGGTCATCCCAAGGTCACTTGACCCCCAAGGTCATCCTCGCCAAGGTCACTTGACACCCAAGATCACGTGACCCTAAGGTCACCCCAAGGTCACGTGACCCCCTCCCCAGGGTCGCGTGACCCCCAAGGTCACGTGACACCCAAAGTCACGTGGCCCCCGGGGGTCACGTGACCCCCGATGACGTCATCAGTGACGTCACTGATGTCGTCACCGGCATCCGCATCGTCAGCGTCATCGTCACTGATGTCGTCACCGGCATCCGCATCGTCATCGTCACTGATGACGTCACCGGCATCCGCATCGTCATTGTCATCATCACTGATGACGTCATCAATGACGTCACTGATGACTTCACCGGCATCCGTATCGTCATCGTCATCATCACTGATGATGTCACTGGCATCCGCATCGTCAGCGTCATCATCGCTGATGACGTCATCAGTGACGTCACTGATGACGTCACCGGCATCCGCATCGTCATCGTCATCAATGACGTCACCGGCATCCGCATCGTCATTGTCATCATCACTGATGACGTCATCAGTGACGTCACTGATGACGTCATCGGTATCCGCATGGTCATCGTTACTGATGACGTCATCGGCATCGGCATCGTCACGTGACCCCCTTAGGTCACGTGACCCCCACCCAAGGTCACTTGACCCCTCCAGTACCCTTCCCTCCTTCTCCTCAAGAGCTGCGCTCTAATTCGGCGTTACAGGGAGTTGTAAACGGCTTTCACTTTTTTAATGCGATGAATTTGAAAGAAAAACGCCGTAACTGACCAATTTTTTCGTCGGCCTGACTGAGAAATGCTCTAAGCTACCTAGTACGTACGAATTATTTGGGATATTTGCTCTTATGCTCGAGCGCAGGGAGAAAATGCACTCACTCTTTCGCATAGGAATGCATTGCCGGAAGTCAGTTTCGGACTGGTTGCTGTCTGTTTCAATTTGCGTCAGCACATTACCGCCACTTGAACCTCTAGGGTACGTTATAATAACTCTATACCTTTATGTTCGCTTTTCTTTAGCGCTCATTCACATTGGAAGCGGATCCGCGCTCCCAAAGCGGTTGCGAACGCGGTTGTATAAAGATCCAGTAGAATTGCACGCGTTCGTCAATTGTACTGGATCTTTATACAACCGCGTTCGCAACCGCTTTGCGAACGTGGATCCGCTTCCAGTGTGAACAAGCGGTTAGGGAGAGTGATGCCATACTTTGTAGTACCCGACGCCGACAGTGCACGCTCACACATAAAATACAAGGAAATTGCCGGTAATAAAATGGCGGCGTAGGAATGCCAAAGTCAGCAGCTCGAGCAAGGAGAAGAACGAACGCGCGTTTTAAATTAAAAAGTAGACAAAAGCATCGGACTGTCTTAGGCTGGTGCGCTATCACCAGCCTAAGACAGACGCGTACACATTGGGACACCCTAGCCCGCTAAAAGTGGTTTTGTGCAAAAGACCGCCCTGTGGCTCGCGGCAGGGAACACGATTAGAAACGCTTTGTCCTACCTGAACGAGCAGATCCAGGAAGCGGCCGCGGACTAATGCAGTCAGCTGAAAACTCTCACTCTACATGCAAAGCTAGTGCATTTCACAGCCAGCGTGAAAATATTGATGGCTCGCTATTCCCACCCGCAATGTAACCAAAACAAAAGCGTCAGAATAACAGGATTATTCACCCGAAGGAAGTCAAACGAGCAGCATGACGCTTGCGACTGTCCGGCCACGACCGTTTCCAGCTCTCCGTGAATTGGCGCGAAGCCTTAGCACCGTCTGAACTTTTTACCATGGATTAGTGCGCCTGCACCTCTCCTCTTGACCGAACTACATTGCTCCAGTTAAGAGACCAGTCTCCTCTTAATATAAAGGGACACGTGTGAATTCTTCCTCTCGGTCTTTCCTACACAGAGGGACCAAGGAAATGGTCTCCTTTGTCTCTCTCGATATGTTGGTGTCGCTCTTCATGTTGCTATTTTATTTTCCCTTTCCCTCTTAAAAAAAACTGCGTGTTTTATGAGAGACCGGTTTTAAAGTGTAACACCGCACATTCCCTAACAAAAAATCCGGTTTAATTTAACATTTAATAGCTTTATTTACCATGTATAAGCATGGTGGGGGCTGAAGAAAAAAGCTGTCCAAGCAGCTTGACTGGTCCTCAGCCCCCCTCAGGTACATACAGTGGCGAGAAAGACATTTAAAAGAACACAAAAAATTATATAATAATACAAGGTACTTTCATCATAACAATGAACAACAGAAAGCTATCAGCAATACATCAAAAAAGAATAGCACTGGCCTATAAAAGAAATCGGGAAGTTGTACACAAGAAAGGGAAAACTATCCAAAGTATTCTAAGATGCTTCAACATAATATATATATATATATATATATACATACATATATATACATATACATACACATACATGCATACATACATATATATAAACACACACATACATATACATGCACATACACATGCACATACGTACAAACACACACATATTATACACACGTACATACACACAGACATACATATGTGTGTTTTTATGCTTCGTATATTGCGCGAAGTTCACTATATCTGCAAGTGTACAGATCAAGATGAACGGGGTGATAGTAGTTTCGAAGGGATGGTAAAAGATAACGGAGACATTCTTTTCCGGAGTTTAGTCGAGTTGTAGGGACTACCCAGCTCTCTTTGTGTCTTGTACAGTAACTAGAGGTTTTTATTTGCAGTTGGGAAAGATTGCGTATATTACTTATATTTCTCTGTGTTTCTAATTTATAGCGAGCACTCAAACGATATCTGTATAGGTTGTGTGCCCTGATAACGCGAGAACGACGAAAGAAAATTGAACTAGGTGTTCCATAAGGAGCGTTATAGATGTGGCGAACGTATTTCTTTTGTAATAAATGAATACACTGTAGGTTTGAAGATGTAGTTGTCCCCCACACTAGTTGACAATAGTTTAAGTGTGAGTAAAACAGTGAATTATAACGAAGCAATTTAACTTGTGTGGGAAGGAGGTATCGAATGCGTCCAATTATGCCAGTAATTTGCGCTATTTTTGTTAGCAAGTAGTTTACATGAGCGTCCCATAGCATGTCGGCGGAAAATATGATACCGAGACACCTGAAGTTATCTACCTCTTCTATACGACGTGAATTAATGAAGATTTCTGGATGTGTAGGAACGGGCTTGTTTTTTGGGTCTGAATATAACCGCCTTTGTTTTGTTTTTTTCATTTACTTGCATAGCATTAGCTGCCGACCAGTTCTCGAGTGTTTTCATTGTATCATTACATTGATCTATAAGTTCATGAATGTCATGGCCAGAGAAAAATATGCTAGTGTCATCCGCATATACTATATATTTGGCTGTGGGGCTAATATCTACAATGTTGTTAAGATAAACGTTGAAGAGTAGTGGCCCTAATATGCTGCCCTGTGGCACACCACAAAGTACTGGTTGCGCCTTTGAGCGCATATTGTTAATATGGACAACCTGTTTTCGATTAGATAAATAAGATTTTAGAAGCAATAAAACCCGTCCTCGGATACCGTAGCAGTTCAGCTTTTCAAGCAAAATGTCATGATTTACTAAGTCAAAAGCCTTTGAAAAATCTACAAATACACCAAGAACGATGGCTCTGTTTTCAAATTGTGTGAGTATATATTCTTTTTGTTCAAGTAATGCTAGTTCACTTGATTTGTTTTTACAAAAGCCGAATTGGTGTGGCGTCAACAAGTTATGCTTATCAATAAATCCCGAAAGTCTCGAGTGCAAAAGCTTTTCAAATACCTTTGAAAAAACTGGCAGGATGGAAATTGGCCTATAATTTCCCAGATCATTTCTATCTCCCTTTTTGTAAAGTACTGTAATCTTTGCTTTCTGCATATTTGATGGGAAGACAGCTGTCTGCAATGAATTTGTAATAAACAGATCAAGCCTTTTCGCTATCCGGATTA